AATCAAAGCTAGGATGCTAATTGCCACGCAGGTTGGTCCAAGAAAGACAAAAAAGTTTGTCGAAGTCTTGAAGAAATGCGGGAGTAGTAATGACGTACAAAATTGTGCCAATATTTATGATGTATTCTAAGGATGTAAAAAATACTCAGTATGCAAAATTACATTTTTATTTCTACATAAATGGAACATAGGTATCAGGAATCAGGTCTTAACCACAATATTCCACGCAGAGATCGAGTGCACATTAAAAAATGATTGTTTCAACAATTTTAATTGTCATAAATCATATTATTTAATAAATTAAAATCATAAATATTTCAAAATAATTTTTCCTCTTATGCGTATTTCGAAATAAATTACATATATTTTCTGATCTTAATTTATTTCGAAGTTCAATCAAGAAAAGATCAGAATTACGTAGCTTCTTTTTATACAAAGCATATAAAGCTGTATTTTGCTCCTCTCTCATTGTTTAGACATTGCAGGTATGTACATACGTAGAAGTAGAAGATATTGCTCAAGAATTGTAAAAGATAAAATGCTCACAAAATTTATTGTTACTGTTATCATTATGATAACAAGGAATGAAGTGAAAGAACTGTGAGTAGAATATTTTCAACTATTATTATTTGCTGTGCAACCATATTTAAACACTACTATGCAATCCCAATTGCTTTTGACATATTCACTTACCAATCACAATAACTATAACAGATTTAGAAGATAGCTTTTACAGAACAAGTGTCAAACATATTTATAAAAATGGCTCGTTTATATTGCATACAGTCTATATTTAACCAAAAATAAATATATTCTCTTTAAAATTCAATATTACACTAGATCATTTTCAATAAAATACAAAGATAAATTTAATCTTTGCTAAACATCCTGGTAACAAAACATTTTCATTATATTACATGGAACAATTCTTTAACAGTGAGGTACAAATCTTTAAGCATGCCTGTGTTGTAATTAAAAAGGAGTGCATGATCTATTACAGTCTTTCACATAGATATAACACAATATATCTATGGAAGATATTCTTTATTATTGCAGAATGGTTGCAAAAAGGGAAGTGTATAGGAACATCTGAGACATTAACAACAAGTACTATTATTTTCATTCTGAAAATTAAATTGATGTAACACATCTGATTTAACTTCTACTGCAATTTGAATTGCACTGCAAAATGAAATTAAAATGCATCTTTAAGTTTTTATTGGCTGTCTTTCTAAGTATTTTTAACCACAGAACTTACATATGTTATCTGCAGTTACTTTATGTAGAACACTTCATTGTAACATGTATATTTTAAAGTTCTATGAAAATACTTACAATGATAAACATCAAAATGTTTAGATCAGAGCTGTACTATTGCTGGACATTATATTGGCAATATCAAATAAAGATGTGATTTAAAAACTATCCACTGCAGTTCATTATTAGTGGAAGACACACCAGATTTATCACTCATATCAAAACCCGTAAATTCATGTAGGACATTTTAAAAATATATATTTAATTTGCTTCTCTAGAAACATATGAAAAAAGCAAAACAAAAGGTAAATCTATAAAAGGTACTAAAATGATGAACATTTCCTTTTTGTCTTCCTAAATACTTTGTGGCTTATTCCGTTACTATTCCCCCTTTGAATTTTCACATTTTTCTTTAATCAAATAATCTTATACAGTATTCTCTTCTATCATTTATAAATGTTTATTCACAGCAAATTGTCAGTAGTTTTGAGAAATGTGAAAATATACAAAATTATAATTTTCAGAAATTGATTTTTTAAAATACTTCTTTGCTTAGAAACATGATTATCGACTGGCAATAAAAACAGTATCTAGTGCATTTGCTATCCATTAATTATTTGCATGTTCTAATAAAGGGCTGCTCAAAAGCAGGAATTCAGTCAGACCGCCTGCAGTGGTCCACTGCAGCTTCCTGCTAGCCACTCGCCTTTCACTAGACTAGAGCTGAACGCCTGAGAGCCTCCCCACCCCTCCCCTCTCGTAAAACTGAGTTACCAAGCAGCGAGTAGCAACGGTGACCCACTGATAAACATTGAGCCAAGGCTCGCCAAGTGGGCCACCGTCTTGAGCACCCATGTTGAGATGCATGGTTTACAGAATACTTTTTCGTAAGTTATCAACTAATGTTATCATGTCTCATAAAAAATACACAACGTTGCCTGCAAAGAAGTATTTGCAACAATATGGAAACACGTTGAAATTTGTAGCTTTCTAAAATCATCAATTATACTGAACCAAATATATTTTAAGTAAGAAAAGTATCATTTCAATATATTTTACAAAACAGTAACGTTTGTATAACTTTCAGACTCTATTTACACAATCATACAAAAATTATGGAAAAATATTGCTTAACAATAGCTATGATATAACAATGAAGTTCTGGAACTTTCAGTTTCAGCAAAAATATTTTTCATAATCAACAAATATTTATTTTGGTCATTTAGATTTGAAATTTAAATGAATTAATCAAATATTTTACGATACAGGTCCATTTTTGGAGACCATTCATCTAATGTAATTGATAATAAGATTTTAATTTTTTATTGAATAGCTGCTTTTGAAGATATTTAAGTTTATAAAATGTATTGATAACTTTCCCAAATGTTTTATATATCTAATTACCTCTTGTATTTACCAAGTTTGAAAATTATTGTTTCAGCCCCTGTCCTTAGAACAGCCACAAAGAGAAGTGATTGGAATTGCACAATAGCATGACAATAACACACTTTCAAAAGTTCCATTAGTTTAGGCCTATGAAGTACTGCATTCTTGTAGGTCTGAATTCCTCAGATGACAATGCAGTAGATGAGCATCTGAAGATAAGGCCATGCAGTCACCAATCAAGAGTTGCGTACATAGAGGGAGACATTAAAATTTGTGTGACGTTGAATTGTTATTTTATTAGCAGTTCTTTTCGTCTTAAGATGAAGCATTTCCCTTCTCTCAATTATCAAATATTTTTTCAACTTTACAAACATGCAATTTTGACTCTGTTACGACTCATCTGTAATAAGAAAGTTGAGTTACTTTGATCTCTCTTATAGAGCAATATTAAGAGTAGAATGACATGTTAATTTTTTAAGGAATGTAGAAATGCAGGATTGGAAAGATTTCAATCCAAGCAATATTTTGGTTATAACAGCAACTTTGGTTTGTGCTCTCTATAAGTAACCAGTTTTAGAATTTGAAGAAAATTGGAATTTTCTTACAAAAATTCACTTTTATTTTGAAGTCAGATTCCAACATGTAACTAACTTCTATGGTAACAAAATTGTATTCCTCGTACTCTACACCTCCATTAAATCTAGTACTTCATTTCTGAACTGCACCAGCAGACGAAAGACTATGGGTGTCATTTAATTTCCAATATCTCAACCAGATGTGTGCTTCCTTATTTAATTCCTTCTGAACTATATTACAACGAATTGCTACACATGTAAATAAGCCAAATCTAAGGTTGTTCTACCCTCCCAATATTTCACATGTGTATCAGTGGCTGCATCTCAGCCCTTCTCATTAATATAATATTTGATGTCAGAAGAATGGAAATTTGATGAGCTCAAGTATTTCAAAAACGAAATTTGCGAATTGTATTAATTTGAAATATCACATATGAACACCACAAACCGTTTGCTTAAGTTCTTAATTTGTGCTTCAACTTCATAGGCACTCCAGGATTATTGTGTTTTGTGATCATATTTATCCTTTGACGCCACTACAGTCACTCTGGAAACAAAAACAACTCGTATTCACAGCTCCTTGCCCTCCAATCCTTCTTAAAAGTACACTAAGCGTCACAAAATATCGCGTCGTATTTTCGTTCGACATATATAAAAACAACTCACGACTAGTTCCCATGGAGTTTACAAAATTGCACAGAGTTTGCTGCGAGTCTTGCCCTGGGCCTTTAGTGCGACGGGCGGGCGGGGGGGGGGGGGGAGGCGGCTGCGGCGGGTGCGCGGCCGCAAGGCTCCGCCGCCGGGCAGGCCTGCTCCGCCGCCGCGCGCCCCGCCATCGCCCCAGCGCCGGCCCGACAGGCCCGTGCGAGCCCCGCCCCGGCGCCCGCCGCCGACTCTGTCGCTGCGCGCGCCGTGGCTTGTTAGCAGACAGAACTGCATGACGCTACGTCCCGATCACGCTGCTTCGCAGCTGTGCGCGTCCTCCGTCAAGGCTCTACAGCCGCGACAGGCCGCCTGGAGGGGCGCTCGGCCCTGCCGTCCGGCCGCCGCCGCCGCCGCGGCGCCCCCCTGTGAGGCCGGCGGCAGACAGGTTTAGGAAACATGCACATTTTTCATATCGATTTTTTTACAGTTACAGATATCACTTCTTTAAAGCGCCTGCCTCGCTGTAAGGGAGAATGTAAATTAAAAGATTGACTAATTCTTAGTTTACGTTACGACTCTCGTTCACTGTGAACTGTTCGTTGGATTCGATTCTAAACAAAGCTTGTAGTGTTATTTCTTTACAACGTGTTTGGAACTGAACTGTTTAAATACTGGAGACCAGTTTGTTCACAATGGAGGTTTCGAATGGCTGTCTTTTGTTTATTTTGTATAATTTAATTGACTTGGTCTAAGCCACACAAATCCAGGAAGATCGTGACAGCACAGTAGCGATACGTGTAATATCTTATATTCTCAAAGGTCCAGTGAATTTGGTTTAAACAATGATGTTTTTGATTCATTATTAACATTTTAAAAATCATTGATGCTGCCAATTACCATTAACGTCATATTATTTCGTCTTATAAACTTAAAACAAAATTGGGGGTTGTTTCGGAGTACCTTTAACTTATAATGTTTTCAAACTTTCCAAAATAAAAACAAGAAAACTTTCAGGAAATCTAAATATGCTGAAAGGCAGAGATAATATTCGATGTAAACTTGTGGATTCATGTCCAAGAAAGTCTTCTGTAATTCAGTAAGTTTCTCCTTCAAAAAGCTTTATGATATCAAACTAACCTTCTTTTCCGGACAGTTCAGTGTCGTGACAGTGAACTCGATATCTTCTTCTGCACCTTCTGTAATAAAATAACATCAAAATATCAAAACAAATTTGTTATTATTATAATTACGTTCAACATTATATTTTTGTATTCTAGGATCATAAACGAATTTTTACAAGAAATCATTCATAAAATGACATCTTGCGGCAAAAATTATGACGTATTTCCCATTTATGACACGAATGTGTCAGCGAGCGAACTGTGAGGAGGTAGTGGTAAACCGAATAACCGACCACAAGTTTTTGCACGGATGTTAAATACACTTGTCACATTTAGAATAAAATAGAATATTTCAATTCTTTCTAAAAATTAACTTTGATTCTCTTATCAATTTATAATGCTGTTATACGTATGATGTTACTCGTTCCTAACGGCGCTCGTTTTCAAAATAATTATGCACTCAATCCATAATTATTAACTAGTTGCACAATATACTAGCATGATATTTATTGAACTTGAATCTTGTTATGATTTTAAGAAATGTTTTTGTGTAAGAAGTACTAGGTGACCGTTAACAAAGTTAGTTATGTGTCCTAATTAAATTTCCTTCTCTTAATGACCATAATCCAATTAGCACTCACTTGAAAATTCTTCCACAGGTTTATCAATGGTATCGTGATCTATCCAAGTAAGACCCATCTCTACTTTTTCCGCCAAATCTTGCCAATGCTGCTTATTTTCAAGACAGCCATCATACAGTGGCTTGATCCAAGGGAATGTTTCCGAGAGAACCTTCAAAACAAACAGTTATGTAGCTCAGAATATTGAACTGCTCATCAGAAAGAAATATCCACTTAAGATATCAATAGGTTAGCAAAAAATATAAACACTGTTAAAAGGGAAATTTGAATTTATCGATTACTGGTTGAGATGAAGATGATGTTTAATAGTTTTCTGCCTTCTGGTGGGTCTGTAGTCTTATACATTTAAGAATTATTATAAACTAGTGGACCCGGTAATATTTCGCTATTGCAATGAATTACGCTTCACACGCTACAAGTCACGTGGTTGTTAATCACGTTTTACGCTACGCTCTGCAAAAATGTCAATAAATTAAAGACTTTCTTGCAAGTAAGGGTTTGTTCAATGCCCTGGTTTGGACATAGTTGTCAAGTATCCTATTGTTAAAACGTTTTCCTTCAAGTTTAAGCACGTTTCAGCAGCTATGACTCTGACTTGGATAAATTTGATTTACTTGTCCGAGATAACGTTGACGTAATAATTTCGGACGATATTTTACAATCGCAGGGGCAGAATATGCAGCAGTAGAATCGTTTAATAACCGTACATGAGGGTGCCACGGGTTGCGTAGAGCCTCTGTTCAGGAACGATTGATCCTTCATAAACTCATAAATCGTAATCAACGCCCATTTTGCGTCTATGTGCGACATACATACACATATTCCCATTAAACTATCTATTTAACTTTCGCGCAATTGCAAGCAATAAGTTGAAAAGGTTTTTAAGGCAATCGGATAAGCGGTACGGAAGCGCATAAAACGCACACAAACATTGATTTTTAGTATTATATTAATGCAGGCCTGGTCAAACTTCCTCCTTCGAGCGAGAGATCGGCCGGGCACCCGGAGATTTATGTTATCTTACTAGCCAAATTTCGTTATCTGTTTGTGTATTGTAAGGGCTACATCTCAGTATTAACAATTATCACTGTTTTTCCTAAATTTTCTTATAATTACTGGTAAAAAGTATTTTTAAGTCTGATGTTCAGTTCTTACAAGTCACATATTTATTGCCTAAGGGTTACATTTCAATATTGACTATAATCACGGACTTTTCTAAATTTTCTATTTTCACAAAGAGTTTTTATACAACATCAGTGTTTTAAAAGCGAATTTGTTAAATAGTAGACTAGACTGGAAAGGGGCTAGCACTCGAGTACCAGTTTTCTTACTATGCCTAGGCAGACGCTCTCGGCCATGAACATTATGAGTTACACATAAACACATGCACTGGGGTTCGAAAAAGGGGCACGGCGCAACTCGCGGCGGGGCCCGAGATTATGAGCGCGACCACTAACAGCGCTGCTATAGCGAGCTGCGACTCGGCTCAGCGACCATCTTAGGCCTGAATGATACAGATGATATTACGTAGCTCATAGTAGCCCTATCACATTTCTCGTCACAATCACAAGGTTAAAGCATCCATGTTTAAAGGGAAATTGAACCCACAACTTTTCGTTCCGCATAGAAGGGTTGCCGCATCAATTATTCGTGCAATGAAGATAGGCAAACCTTTCTTGTATTATGCAAATTACAAATTGTAAATATAATGATTATTGAAAACTTTGCTAGAAAATGTAAATGAACTGAAATTGAATGACAAATGAAACATCTATTAAACCTAAATGTGTTTGGTTGTCCCGTCATAGATTGATTAGCACAAATGATGTGAACCATTTCTTCATATTTCTGTAGAGTTTGCATCTACGATTGAAAACGAAACATATTTATAGAACAAAGAAGTACATTTTTGCAAAATATGTAGGAACATCTCACCATCATTTCAATGTTTGAACAAACAGATACACATGAAAAATGTTTATATGTTTACGTCGCTTAAGAATTAAAGACAACAAATTATAACAACTACACATCCTTCCTGAACAAAACCATTGTCTTAACATTAATTAAAAATGATATAGTAGACATTTACTTTAATCAAAACCTACTTTGTAAAGCGGAAGACAGATAACATCAATGAAGCCAACTTGCATCTGTGGAAGTTCGTCTTTTCGTTCTCTATCCATCATTGCCTGCAAATAAATCGATTGAATTAAATCTAGAAAACCATTACAAAGCAAGTATGTTATAGAGAGATATTTAAAATTATCTGACCTTTTTGGACAACAATTTTCTTGGGTCTGGAATATTTGATATCTTTTAATATTTCATTAACGATAGTAACATTTAATAATTAAAATTATCTTACCACTGGTTGCTGATTGAGTTGCAACTTTTCGAGATCACCTTGATCAAAGAACTCATCCGCTACCAGTTTCGCTACTTTGTGCTGAACTTCCCAGGGTTTTGCTATTGCACTTACATCACAGGCGGTCATCATCATTCCACACAACACTGAAACCGTTATGCGTTAATATCATGGGGCGAATTACATCGGAAAATACCTTCAGTTACTATACGTGTCAGAGAACAACAATTAAAATGTAAGAGCTCTAGGGTAGTGACGTTCAATGCTTTTTCAATGATGATCTATGTTTTTACTGTCATTTACTTACGAGCTGATTGTGCGAGCAAATTGTTAAATATATGGTGTTATATAAAAAAGTCCTCGATACGTTTTCGAAGTCATGCACGTATGTGAAGTCATGCTATTTCACTCAAGCGTACTTGAATGCAAATAATACAAATTTTTCTAGGCACATTTTTTGCACTAAAACTGCACTTTTTGGGTTAAAACAAAGTATTTCTATTTCATTATTTCCATTTTTCCTTTCCGAATTAACAATATAACTTCAGTTTTGTAGAATTTTACTGCTTGTTCACATTGATGCCATCACTTTTGACTATCCTTTCAGAAAATATTTTAAAATGGTATCTAACATTCCAATGTCAGTTAACCAACTTCGAGTTCAAGAAGAGAAATGTTAGGAATATTAGCATTTTTACTCTCTTGGGGTTTTACTTAAACAAATATACGAGGGACATTAATGGGAGATATAGATAAAACAAAATGAATGAAGATCGAACATTACTACCATAGAGCTCAGAAAACTTCTTTACGCAAACACATACACTCTTTTTTTCCTTCACTTTGCCAGTCGAATTCTCCGTCTTCAACTAGCTCCATAAAACTACTTTTCTTCTTAAAATACATTGCCAAGTCAGTGGAGATTATTGCATTTTCAACCGTTTTCATAACATAACGATAATCTTCTGTGGACAACGACTGAAAAGAAAATGTATATGCACTGAAAGAGAAGTAAGACCAACAAGAAAAATGATTTAGAGACACTTTAGAGCTTACCTGGAATATATTGTTCCCTTCACTATTTAGAATCATCACGCACTGATCAAAATGATGATGCTCCATAGTACTTGTGGTGTACAGTATTGCTAAAGGAGATTCTGTTTTGGTTTGAAACGCATTATTGGTTCCTCGATGGTCTAAGTCGTGGCACAGGCAGGCGACCAGCAAGCCAAGGATCTGTAAAAAGTTAAATGAAATTACCAGCATTACTCGAAACTGGCATGGCCAGGTTGAAACGGGTATTCAGAGAAAATAATTTTCTAATCCAACAAGATGAAAATACTACAAAAAATTACTATTACCTTCGCCATAATAGATGTTGACAAATGAAAGACATTGTGGTAAGTATTCACAATTATCGATCAAAATATGGACCTACAGTTTTTTACATTAAAGTCTTCCTAGTTTAAATCGAAGGTCTTCTGTCATTAAGTCGTCTGTAGTTATCTCGCGAATCTTGTAGAGATCTGAGTTCTGTGAAAATACAACTGTCCGAGGTCGACTTATCTGTCGGCTAGCAGTGTACTTCATTGACTGATTTCCATATTAGTATTTCCGGGCACGGCAACTGCTAAGATCATGAGTATCGTAAGTACGTTTTTTATCACGGGAAGTGGCGGTGGTTTTCCTCAGCTGGATGACGAGATCCAACGCCAACCTACACTGGAACAAGCTGGAACAAGCTCTAAGCTCCCGACTGATCTCCCGGCATGTGTGATAGTATAGACTATGTAAATGTGTACGAAAATGGGGAAGATACAACAAGGAAGAGGAAGAAAAAATCACGCACGGCCCATGGCCTGTTTGTTAGGGTACTGCTCCGACATTCGTCTGGTGGAGACCTGAGAAACCACAGAAAATACCAATCAGAACAGTTGGCCTCTATAATTCTCTTGCAGACAGCAAGCGGGTTAATTCGACCCAACTGTCTCGCCAGTGTCGAAAAACTTTCCACAGTCGGGATTCGAATTCTAGGACCTCCCGGTCAGACATAATTGATTCACTGAGCCATCTAAGTTGGGGCAGTAGATCTCGATTGCTTTCTGCAGCCGATTGCCTCCAGTGGAGCCCTAGTACCAATCCCGCTGGCGCTACAGCCACCGGCATCCCTTAATTGGGGCAGCTATTCCTAGTTTCAATAAACCCGTTGGAGGATTATTTTACAAATTGTGACATTCATGAGAGTGAGCTACTTAGCAGTGTTTATGAAATAAAACGTTCTGAAAATAAATTATAATTCACCTTTGAAGAATTCCTGCGGCTCCTTTCCTTACTCATTATTTTAGTTCATTCAAAAATCATTTGTAATCAAAACAATAATTCGAAAAGTCATCTATCACTTATTTTCTAAAATATATGCCGTATGTTCTTGTAATGACCTTTTAAATATACATTCCGATTAATGTTTGCAAAATAAAATAATGTTTAATGGCAATATCTTGTAATAAATTGTTTCTTGTTTCAGGAGTTGAGAAGGGACGCAAAGTCCAGATAATTTTGATAGATTGTACAGCGAATGTTTGGCTTTGATAAAGGTGACATCGCGTTGTTTGATTGCGCATTTAGTGCGTGTATAACACACTGATTAGCATATTAATACATAATGAATCACTGAATAACATAATTATAAATCCAGTATAGTTTTCTAATGACGAATTCATCTGAGTGGTTACAAACAGTTCATTACTTAATATATTTCCGGATCTTGTGAGTGTCTAGACAATTATTTAGTCGGCGATTAGAGAGCTTAATAATATTAATATTATAAATAAGTATTTAGAAAAAGAACGGGTTGGGTAAAGCACCAATTGTAGCTATCATCCTAAATTGGTGCTATAGAACGAAATAAACAAAATATTTTTATAGAAACTCAAAATTATTTTCCACGATAGAAACTTAGGTAAACAATATCGTCATTACGTATGCAAATTTTAAAGAAAAAATAACAATTTTCGAATGGGTTTTATTTAAGCCTTTCACTGAACTGATTTGCGAGCATTGCATGAGATTTGCGAAATAAACGGAAATTGAGGGAGACTTGCAGGGACGACACCTTTGGGTGCACGTGTGGCGAATTGTCTTTCCCCCGAGAGCCATATTGCCTTTTAGTTAATCAGTACCCAAGGAGCTGTTGGGTTAGTCGTCGGCGTGCCTTGGAACAACGATCATCCGCTCTGCCCCTCAGCTTGTCGGTTTAACCCAACGAGCGTGAATTACGTAGAGTAGAGAAGAATAATATGCAAATACATCGCTCCTGGTTGAAGCACTTGGCACTACTGGAAGCCATGTTTTCTTTTGGCGAAACGAATTAAGGCTTCCTACGGGTTTTTGTCGAAAGGTATACGTTTTTCGCGTTTCTTTTAAAATGTAAATAGATGTGAACATTTCCGTTCTCTAGTTCGGCGTTGATGGAATTGCATATCTAAGTAGAGGGGATAATTTACCTTCATTTCGCATAGCTTGAAGGAATACTATATTGAAATAATTAATTGTACATTTGGCGATGAGCTAACTTCAATTGAATGAAGTTCAGATTTCGTTATTGATATTCCGCAAGAATTGACTAAATGTTTTGCAGGATATTTCATTATTTCAGTTTTCAGTTTCATCTTCATAGTTCATTTTGTTAAAATATTTCTTCATTTTCGATTTTTCCGAGATTGTGGTCTGATATTAAATTATTGTTTAGCACATTTCTATAAAGTAATTAAATTAAAGTTTTATGAATAAATATTAATTATCAAATGCGTACAATTCAAAAGTTATTTTTTAAATCAGATGTTACTAAAAAGAAAATACAGAAATATAATTTTTACAACGGGCAAGCAAACTTAAATCTGTTTCTTTAAATTAATACGACTGCATTAAATTGAATGTTGAATGAATTAAAACGAATGTTTAAATTAATACGAATATACGATCGTATGGACTAAATTCAACAATTTTTAAATAATAGGTCACCTCTAAACACTCTTCGATGGAACTGGAAATTACGCGCACTTTCTGACCTTGCCAACAGAAAACATGGCGGCTATCCTTTCAAATAGCTTCAAAAATGGCGGTCACATCGCCACTCTATATACTTCGGTTTTTATGACGTGGCGCGTCAAGGCCTGTCTTCACGATGCAATATCTCACGGCATTTCGCGTCTTTCTCGGTCGTGCGGCTAGATATCGCAGCACTGCTTGATATGGTCGCGATCATGCGACATCTTCCGGCACGACCGAGAAAGACGAAAATGCCGTGAGATATTCCATCGTAAAGACAGGCAATGCCGTGCCACGTTATAAAAAACGAAGTATACATTTATATTGTTCTATCGCGTTGGTTCAACCCAATTGGGAGGAGGGGAGAGGAGACTCTGTACCAGTGACACAGTGTACGCAAGCAAATGCACGGAGGCACCGCAGGTTTTCTGCGACGAATTTTTGCATTTGAGCAGACCTTACTTGAAGCAAGAGAACTCATGCAATCAAAAAACTGATAGGTCATAAAATTATTAACTATTATTATTATTATTATTATTATTATTATTATTATTATTAAATAATAGCCTATTTTTTTGGATTTTCAAATCTGTGTTTTGCTACTTTTACATGACGCGTTAACAAAATAAACTAGAATTCAGGTGTAGTAGCGGTCTTATGTAGCCTTTAATTTACCTTTAATACATATTTGAGGGGGCATTTTTAAATTTCTTCTTCACGGTAAGAAGTAACTTTAGACAATCTTCGAGATATATTTGTGAGACTTCCAAAACTGAGAAGAAAGTGTCGTGGACCGTTACAAAATTGTTTTATAGAAATTCCTTGAAAAATAAACTTATGATTACGCGTGTTTGTACTTCGGTTAATGAGCCAAGTAAAATCTCCCAAAATTTGGTAGAGTTCTGGAAACTCTTTTAATCGCTTAAGAAGGCCTTTGATATGAGTAATCGGAGCTTTCCCCGATTTTTGAGCAGACGTAAGCAATTTTGATAAAAAAACTCAAACTTCCCGTACTTTTCCCGTTTTTTAAAAAATATGCTCCAAAACTAAACGTTAATCGTCAAAGCTATGACTATAATTTTTCACAGTTTTCGTAAAATACTCATTTCCTCTTCATAAACCGGGCAATATCTATAAATCGACGAATTTAATCCGAATGTGTTGTCTTAGTATTTTTTCTTTTATATACATTTCACACTTTTCGAAAAACACTCATTTCTTCTTCATAAACCGGGCAATACCTGTAAATCGAATTTAATCCGAATGTGTTCTCTTACTTCGAGGTCCGTCATGAAGCGCTCCATCTTGCCGGTCTTGAGCATCGCGAACATGGTTTGCGCCACGTTCAGGGCGTGCCTCCAGTTGTGGTACTTGACGGGGCGGTAGTTCTTCTTGACGCTCAGCACCCAACGGCATAGCACCTACGTCACAAGACATTGTATAACAGATGTTGCAATTAATTATAAGGCTACAAACTACAAATTATTAAAAAATGTAGTGAACACGATAAAATGTCAGATACATTGTCTGGAAATGTTACAGGGAAAGGGAGCAAGAGAAAATAGAAAACTCCGAATAATAAATATAATTTTCTATTCATTAAGTGTATTTGTTGAAAGTGTTAATTAACAGGTGAATTAAGAAGAATTGAGTAAAAAATATTCTACAATATTTACAAACTACTACGTATTAAGTAATTCACATCCATGTTTCACAATATATTTCAATTTTAATTGAAGAAATACACAATTTTTATTTGTGTTTGTTATTTAGTATTTTCCTCATTTCTTTGCAAATGTAATGATTCGTGATGAATTTAAAATGCATTCTCAAAATAATTGATGACGTTATTTAAATCATCTCGAGGTTAGTCAGAGACATCTTTTTTCAATTAATTTAATTATTACTGTTCATTACAAAACACTCGAATAAGTGAACCTCGGATATTGGATGATCAATAAAAACAATTATGTATCGAAGAATAGAAAAAAATACACTCACAGAAAACAAGTGATGCACCCAGAAGGAGTTGGAAGTGAATAAAACTACGTGTGCTGAGAGAACATGTGACAGGGCGGTAACATCACGAATACACGCTGGGGGCGTTGTACACAATACAGAGAGTGTAAATCTAATCATTCACTCATACATCATTGGAATGTATGTACCATAAAAAGGGATAATATTAGACCACTCCATCTGGGTGCATCCTTTTTTGCCAGCAGTTTACATCTCAAGATATTCAATCAATTGATTAAGTAAAAATTATGAATAAACGGTAACTCAAAAATAACAGTGAGCTGTAATATATGTTCATTTCGGAAACCTTTTAGTTCATTTCACAAACACAATGAACTACTGTAAACAGTTAGAAGAACTCAATACAAGAAATTTCAAGAGATTTTCAAAGATATTTTCACCCACAGTATTTACACAAGTAAATACATTACTAATAACAGAAACTGATTTGAAATTAATTAAACTTAAACACATTATTAAATCGTGTGAATATTATTACACATTAATAATAAAATAGATGAATCAAGACTTACGTACATCATAAGGTATATGAAATTGCTTCACGAGATTGCACTGTAGGAACATACGAATTGTTGCCCGGCACGTATCTTCATCCGAGAGATCAAAATCGATGAATTTGAAACTGCAAAAACAAAGAGTTATTAAGAATAATGTTATGTGGATGTTTCAATGAAAAGATAGTTTCAAATAGTTTAAGATTAATTTTGTGGCTAAACCGAAAGTTATTTTTACAAAATTTTCTTCGTTCATCATAAGGTCCATCGTTACCACCATTGTTAAGAGAATGTAACCTTAAAATGATAATTTTAGAATTACGAGAAAATAATAATTTATAAAATCATAACAATTTATGAAATTATTATTAATGAACTTGAGACCGAAAATCTATTTTTTTTATTTTTTAGAGTTTTTTTGAGTAACTGTGCAACTATTCCAGCAATAAACATCCATGTCAAATATGTGGTTTCACATTACTGCAATGCTATAATCGTCATTTCTGCAGCACATAATCGTGAATGAAATATTGAGATATTTAGTGCATGAAAAAACAAAGGATCGTTTTCCCAAGATATATATATATATATATATATATATATATATATATATATATATATATAATTTAGAAGAAACGTTGACAAGCAATGAATGAAAAACAAAGTGATTTTATTATATAAATAAAATTTATTATTATAAATCGACATTTTTTTGTTTACGTGCTTCAATATTGTAGAACGTAAAACGCAATCTTTCAGTAATTAACTATCCTTTTCCACCCGTAAGGTGGATCTCCAGAGCTCGTTACTTACACTCCTGTTTGTGTGTTGTATTGTGTAATATTTTGCACCACGGTGCGTTATAAAGTATGTCGTCGTTATGTCCCTATTGCGCAGCTTGATAACTTTTCTTTCCACTCAGTCAGTCAAAGATTTATTCATGATATGACGTTAAAGTTCAGAAGAGAATTGAAAAAGTTTACTGCTAAAAACTTCGCAGAAATTAATTAGAAAATTCAAAATATGATTGGTATTGCAACATAAATTGAATCCTTTACGAGTATATTAGAAACCTGTCAAACGCCAAAATCTAAAACATACTTTAGCGACGGAATATTGTTCCAGGATAACAGACAGATAGTTTAGAGCATATTTATATGAAAAGTATTCATTTATTAACCCCTTTCATAAAAAAAAAATTTGAAATCTCGAAAATTGAGAGACATATTCTCAGTTTTCTCGAAATGAAAAATTTGGCGTTTGACGGGTTTCTTAATTGATTTAGGTTATTTAAAATGTTCTATGAGTAAATATTGACGTCGCATTAGCAGTATTTAACTAATCAAAATGCGTTGTTTCAAACGAGCGTTCTTGTAAAATGAAATTTCAATTAAATATCGTTCGCGAGCTATAGCAGTAGAACAACCAACCTGTATAAATTGTACGTCTCAGCCGATGGGATGGTGTCAAGTTGCAACTTGGACGTGTCTTCCGCGGAGGCGGTCGCGTGGTAAGATAGGCATTCGAGCGCCACCTTCTGTTTCGCCATCAGCTTACCTGCAACCACACGCCATCTCGTCACTTACGTACTTCACAATAATGTGACCTATGATGAGTAAAAAGTTCAAAGGATTCCGTTAATGACTGTAATAAATTAATGGGTGACTTTGTCATAATATTGGGATGAATTCAAGTTGATTAAAAGCAACACTTTAAACACTAGATTTTTATAAAATAATATCAAGCGTTTGCACTTAAAATACAGTGTAGTATGTTTTAAGAAATAGTCTATCTACTAATCCGAACGCTGTATCAAACACAATTAAGGAAGCATAAGCTTTCAATAATTACTTCGTGTCTTTCCAATTGTTTTGTTTTTGTTATGTCTTTTTTATAAACCATTTTCGACATATCGGTTGCAATGAAGCGTATTTTTCTCCTCAAGGAATCGAGATATGGCAGAGTCAGTACACATAAAAAATAGCGGGGAATTAAAGTGTCTAGAGTAGCTTGATGCATTATACAAAAGCTCATTGATCTAGAGGGATGTCTTCCTTTGAAATATGAAGGCAGGACATCTTATTATTATTAATATTATTATTATTGTTTATTGTTATTAATATTATTATATTGAAAACAAACAGATTTTTGTAAAGTACCGTGATAGAAATTTAGTTAGCCCTTTCATGGAAAAATATAACTAATTATTTAAGGTTTATGATAACGAGAAACAATGAAAGACATCCGAATACTTTATGTATTAAAATAAATAGCTTTTAATAATGAGAATATAAAGGAATAAAAATGTTAATCAAAATACGAAAATTATGTGGTTAATAGATTTTATCATTCTATGAATCTACTTATATGATTAATATTGTTGGAGGAGATGTAATTCGAAAATACCTTTAGAAAATATTTATATATTTAGTTGATTCGGCAACACGAAATTTGCCTACTATGTTATTATTTTCTTTTTAAACAGTTAATAAAATAATATTTGAACATCCTAAAATTTACACACTTTTTTAATTTAAACATTTTGGCACGTAAAGTAACGCGTAATCACAATATTGTTACGTATGTTATGGTAATTAATCCAAAACTCTCAATGTGAATTACATATTCCTTGCAGGTGGACCGATGTTGAGATTTTATTAAAAAATCCTGTTTCTTAGTAGTATTAATACACTCCAAATATCATGTATTCAATAGAGTATTGTATTAAAAAAGTCAATTTTATTAAATCAATATATTCTCGATTATACTTGTATATGCCAAGTATACTTAGTAACAAGTCTTAACAAAAAAATTAATAATAAAATATTTATTTAACATCAAAACAGTGGCAGATGTATTGAAATTATTTACAATATTTTTTTCTCATAGCTGCAAAAAACTTACATGCATTTTCATACATCTGGGTGTTGTGAATGCCCAGTCCGCAAAATATCGCAAAAGCTTCGAAAATGGACACGTCGCAATCCGTGAAGGGCGATCCGTTTGCCTGAAAACATAAAATAAGCAATTTTTAGAGATAAGCTAATGAGCAAAAATCAGAATTCAGTATTACATGGTTGAGTGATTGATTGACTGTTGTTTCCAGGCCCGTCAACTTCTAAGGTCATTAGTTGCATAAATGAACTACATATTAATCGCGAGATGTGGTTATGATCTCCTAACCCCCGCTTGATGCCGAGATCCGGCACCGACCTACACATAGGCTTCCAAGGTTTCACTAGCCAGGTATGCACAACCAGCAGGGCACCTGTACGCAAGCTGTGTACCTGTGGCAAGTTGTATGCTCCGGACTGTGCGGCAGTCTAGGGCATGCAAGTGTAAATGAGAGCAACTAAGGTGTGAAGATAGAATAAGAAAGGCGAAGGAAAGATCGCGGTTCGTGTCACGTTTGATAGGGTACTGTCCCTTATTAGTCTGGTTTAGATCGGACAGAAGTCATAAGAAAGAAAAGAAAAAAAAAGAAATAAAATGGATGTCAAGAAATCTATCCTTGACGAAATAGAGAAAAAACAAATCGTCTGGTACGGTCATGTTATGCGAATGACAGACGAAAGATGGCCAAAACGAGTCCTGAAATGGGTGCCGACAGAAAGACAGAAGAAAGGAAGACCCAGACTTGCATGGCACCAGGGAGTGCAAGAGGCTATGACGGCAAGAGAAATGCCAGATGATCTATGGTCCAATAGAGAGGCATGGAGACTGAGAGCGGAGAAACGGCGACAGCTGTAGAGCAACTCCGTACTATATATATATATATATATATATATATATATATATATATATATATAGAGAGAGAGAGAGAGAGAGAGAGAGAGAGATCGGACAAACCACGAACAACTATCTGACAGAGCAGCCGTCCGCAAGAATTCTGTTCCAGACAGTGGCTGAATTCGACCTAGCTGAGTAGCTAGAGTAGAAAATCCTGCCACCGTCGGGACTCGAAACCTAGAACCTCCCAGACAGAGGCGCTTTCTTAACATTAATTGACGCCCTGAGCCACCTAAGTCGGTAGTATTAAAAGAAAAAAATACTTCCCTATTTCAGATATATTGCCATTGACTGAAGAAAAATTGAGAATAACGTTTCGGACTCATTTTATTTCTTAAATTAAAACATTGATCTATGTTGATTCAAAACACTTTATAAGCCTTTGTTGGGGTACGTTGGTGTCGATTTTGAGAAGTTCTCATCGGTAATATCACATCGGTAGTATCATCACCATGACATACATTATTCAAATGCGTTTGTGATAATAAAGTTTCCATGAGTCCAACGCAATTGACGAACAAATTATTTACGCGGATTTCAATTAATATAAAATATTGAATTCGTAATGTTCAGTAATGATTAGATTAAGAATATGTGAATAGCACTTCCCAGCAGCAAAGTGTCGCAATTCGCAAATTGACTATTCGCAACCGTTGGATAACTAATATTTTCGTTGATGAGCTCTCTGAGATCTCAATGACAATGATATATCATCTTTGATGAGTCAACTATAGTGTCACAACTTTGATTTTAATGAGTAATTGTCTAAAACACGTCAACTACTTGCTTAAGTAGCGCGCGGCCTTCGCATATTAAATGAACGCACGAGATAGGTGCAACTGTTTTCATTTTCCCGCTATACAGCAGTGATGCACGTGTTGCGTTTTCAGTTCCTACCGAGCCTGCCTGCTCGAACGAGATACATGGAACTGGTGAATATTAAAAGCTCAAATTGAAAATACAAATAGACATTTCCGCAACTATCATAAGTCAGTTGGTTAAATGGCTAGTTCTTAAGGAAACTTCAAGACTAAAATATCAGCCATTCAATAGATGAGGATTTCACTTCTTCACATACTACTTTCGAAAGAAAATAGGATTATTCCAAAAATGCTCCAAAGCTCAAATGCTCCTACATATTCTTAATAACATGACATATACGTTATTTTGCTGTAATATTTTAATTTTCCAGAATCACACAAATACATATTAACGTAGTATTGTTATGTTATGTCACCGTTACAAAGAATGCGAAAAAGTACGCGTTGTTGTAGCCCTATTAGTTCTGAAGGCTTTCAAGATCAGTAGTTCTATTTGTTATCAACTATTTCTCTTCATTCCTAATGATAGGTTTTTTGTTTCTTATTTCATTATTATCTAGTAGTGCACGATACTATGAGTAAATATTGACTAAATAATAAATATTGAAATTTTCTCTTGTCTGATGAGACGTTAACACAATCTCTTTTAATGAAGGATTCACAATTTAATATTGAGGCTTCGTAAGGGCGTTCGCTCATTAAAATTTTCAATCATCTCCCAGGATACTATTGATCCGTCCTGTAATATTCTAATTATAAAAGTACCCATTTAATCACACTAATTTAATAATATTTCTCGTGTTTTAGCTTGCGACGTAAAATATGTTTTATGAACTGTCGATATAAGTATACCGATATCGTGCATTTGAGAGTTTCAAGTTAAACAAATACCGAGCAGTGTACAATATAGGTTTCTAATCGCTGAGATATAAGGTATTAGGAGACAAAATTATTAAATTACAGATCTAAGAAACAATTTTGTCTTCCAAAGTCACTGTTTTCCGAATTTAAAATAAATTTGCACGCAGTTCGAAATAGCATTTATGATATTTAAGAAATGTCTTGAAATGTGTATGAACTAAAAGTACTGGAAATATATGCAATCTTTCGAGAAATAAAAGGGAGAGTAATTTAAAGTATAAATGGTCATTAAACGCGAACAGGGTAATATTAATATCTGAATTTCCTTTTTTTGATAATATTAATGACTGAATTTCGTGTTTTATGCACCCATTTCATATTATTTAATTTCACTAAAAATATTGCCTTGGCTATGTTGGTGAAGAAAAACTGTTACAATTATTTCTCAGAAGCAACGCATGCTACTACTTCATCATTTAATACATTTATCAAGGAAAATTGACCAAACATGTCGATGAACTCGGGGTCCCGGACCTAGAAGACCTTTACAATACTTCTTATATGCATTAAATTGCATACTACAGAAAGGATAACAAAATGTTTGAATTGATAAATGCATCAATGTTATTGTTATGAAATTGTTGCCGGTTTCATTTCTTAAAGTCAGTATCTGCATAAAAAAGAAAAATACATGTTGAATTTGTGAATTGACTAAAGTGCGTACTACTCGCTCGTTTTACTGTCTGTATAAAAAAACCGGAAGAAAACTTTAAATTCTTGGCTATGTCAGGCGAAACGTCGGCCTCTCGGCCAACGACGCGGCGTCTCCCGGATAGCCAAGAATTTATGGAATCGAGCCGCGGAAGCTTACGTGTGCAGCAAAAACACTTGTCGTTTTAACTTGCGTGTTTATCGCCTCGCAGATTTTGCTGAAAAGACGTTGCTCTGGCGAGAGGCCGATCGCGAGGAGGCGCGTACCTTGTTGATGAGCTGCGCGACGCCGATGACCGTCTTCTGTCCGTTGACGATGGGCATACAGAGGATGCTGCGCGCCATGAACCCGTCCTCCTCCTGTCGCAGGTCCGTCTTCATCCACGCGCTCACGTCCCCGATGTTCAGGATCTGGAGAGGACGAACGCATCGGAAAAAGCACTTATAGAAATCACTATTTATGAAGATCTTATCAGATTGATTAATTAGTGAGACCGGCGCGTCAATACTAAGGTCATTGGTCCCGTAAGTGTAGTGCACGTTTTCCTTGAGAGGTGGAGGTGATCTTGCCCCGCTGAATGGAGAGATATCTATCGTCGACTAGCGGACTGTTCCCCAACCAGCAATCCCCACTAGCGGCATCGACTCGGCCAGGACAAGCTCTAAGCTCCCGATTGGCCTTCCGATATATGTGGCATTGTAGTGCAGAAAGTAAGGGGGAAGATAGGACAAGTAAGGGGAAGGAAATATCACGTGTGGTTCGAGATCCATTTGTTAGGGTTCTGCACCGGCATTCACCTGGAGTTGATCAGAGAAACCACGAAAAATACCTAGAGCAGTGACCCGCTAGAATTCTCCTCCAAATAGTGACTGAATTTTAGCTATTTAACTATATTCCTGCCATTGTTGGGACTCGAACCTAAGAATGAATCATGTGCACTGACCTCAGTTGATACCCTAAGCAACCTCTAGCTGTAGAATCCCTTCAGAAAAAGCAGAACTGCATTTATTAGTGCCATAGAAAAAGTGGTAACCTGATCAACGATACAATATTAGTTATGAATGTACAATGTTTCATTAAAGCTTCTAAATATATTAAACTAAACAAAGTAAATGAGGATTTTACGATTGTATCTTTACACAAGATCTAAGAGGAACTGTAAATTTTAAAAGTTAAATCAACTCAGCTATAAACTATGAAATCACAGGTTTCATCGATAATCTCGGACTAACATACTGTAAAGCATTTTAGTCGCTTTGATTTCTTTCGTTCAGTAGTTTTACGGTGTGAATGAGAGAAGGAACATAAACCAAAGCTTCTTTCCTCAGTGTTACGTCTATTGTGCTGAAATACACTGACTGGTATTTCATTATATGCATTATGGTCCAACGTTTAAGATAACACAGATTTGGAGATGAAATGAGTAAAGAGCGCGGAGATAAATATAAAATGGAAAGGAAGAATTACACAAGACTTCTCGATTATATACCATCAACCCACTTTCTTACAAAGTTACAATTAGAGTGGAAATAGTTTGTGAGCCTAACGATGAGGGACGTATACTTCCACTTTTCTTGCTACATCACGCATAAAGAAGCTCATGGGATGTTAGATTACATTAGAGAGACATAATTGAAGCTTATCCATAAATATATACCTCTCCCATTCTATTTAAAGTTTAATGGGCTACGTGCAATAAGAATATATTTAATCTGATTTATTACTACACTTGCCATTTATAGACATGTTATCCAAAGAAAATGTTCTGAATATAACTGTGGTCTGAATATAACTATAATCTATGTAAATATTTTTCACGAAGTTTAGGAATGCTGAAGAGGTGCTGTTGACATTATTAACGGATGAAATAATGATCATCTTTGTCAACTTAGATTGGTGTACTGTTTCCGACCTTCGCAACATGTAATTAGACTGACGACGACAGCAATGCCGTCGAAACCCGACTCTCTTCATTATTCTAAGTTGATAAAGATTATAACTATTATTTCATCCCATACTTACGAAACAAAGAAGAGCGGATGACTTCAAACAAGTTCATGAACCAAAGAACTGTGTCCGGAAAACAGCAATTTGAAGATTGATCAGACCCACATGATTCTGCCTCTGATTGCACCCTTTAAGAGCAACATAATATGATGTCTATTTGGCGTTACATGTTAAGTACTTAAGACAGCAAATGTCACATACAAATGTTAAAAATAATGCAAGATTATTCTTATAAAAAACTGATGTTGTATTTAAAGGAATAAGATAATTAAGATATTTTACCAAATTATAATCTATAAAACTCACATTTTATTTACCTTGATCAATGAAAGTCACAAACAACTATTTATCTTTATCTATATCTTATTTATTTTTTCACATGATATATTCGTTCAAAATGTGCAACACAAAACAAGTAATGAGTAAAATGTGTCGTAATGTATTTTTTTAATGCCCACAAAAATAAATACTTAATCGTTCAACTCAATTCATATGCGATTGATCGTTAAAAATTAAATGAATGGGGAGAGAATGATTATTATCTAAGAGAAGAGAATAAGAGAAACACCCGTAAGAAAATTCAGTTCCAATTTTCCTGAAATTCAGCAGTTGTGCATCCATAATACAACAAAGAATAAATAAGCGCACATACATTACCGCTTTTTAAATAAAATATTTCCGAACATGTCATTTTAACCCTTTTGGCATTGGCGCTTTCTCTTCAACTTCCATGTTTTTCTGTGATCTGTGCAGGATGGAATCCAGCCATTAATCATCAATAAACATCACTCCAAAGAGATTAAAATCGACGAGTATTTTAAACTTTCTATAAACCGGACGATCCATGAGAATCTGTAGTAATCCAGGAGAGAACGAAAGCTCATTTTCGTATTCAATTGTCAGCGGGTGAGTGCTGGTGAAAGGGGGAAAACTTTTGGATCGTTGAGATTAATGGCTAGTACTACGGTTATTGACAGCAATACTCTCTCATAAACCCCTCTTGTATAGACAGGAACATAATAGAGATCCCGCTCACACCGCCAGAATGAAGGTTATGCATTTGCATGATCGATAAACAATGAGGTCATTTATTTCATAATACACGCAAGTTCTTCCCAACTTAAAACGAATAGCACTGGGATTATTCTTGATTGCTGTACTTAATTTCTAATGCAATTTATGGGTGACAAAGAGTTTAATGTATAACTTATTGTGAATGTATTAGTTCTCTTCATATGACTGCCACACGAAGTGAATATAGAAGATCTTTTATCACAATTTACAATGTTTCGATAAAATGTTCAAAAACACATTCAAAATGATCAACTAAAAATATTCAAGAAGAAAAACACCATAACATAATGTTCTTTTTCAGTATCTGCTAAAGTTACTGCTTTCCCAGAAGTCTCATGGTAGTTGGAATTCTGTGATAGTCGTTCTGAGGAATAAAGGCTGTCTGATATTTCTCCAATTGGTAGCACCTCCTCCTTGGTTTACTCTTTTGAAACTTGCACACTCTGCGACGATGCAGAAAATCTCTTCAGTTAAGAAAAAGCACCGGACGCACGGCTCCCATTATTCCTGAGCTTTTGTCGAAGAAGATACCTTCTCAAAGAATCAAAGCTGGGATTGGGATGCAGGTCATCAACCCAGAAGAAATTTGCAATTTTGATTATAGTAATTTAGAAGAGACAATATAAAATAATGTATAACTCATTTCACTACTGCATCATTACCATTAATCAATTCCCAATCAGAATTTTCATGATAAAAGAAGGAACGTGAGTCAGAATGATTTTCCTCTAACATCATCTTATGACATCATTCAATTTTTTTGACACAATGCGATTCTTGGAATACAGTGGATCTTCAACGAATCATCCTCACTCGTGATAATCAACCCTTGGAATAATCAAACTCCATGGAAATTCAATCAATGGAATTGCCGTACGTCCTCACTCCTAGGGACACTCTACTGTCTTTGAACATCAATCAATGAAATCACCCGTCCCCTTAAAAAGCTTCAACTCATTGGGACTTTAATAACGGATTCACCTGCTTCCTAGAAAGCTTTAATTGTTTGGAACTTAATAGATTGGGACTTATTTGAAATCACTTGAATCAGTGTGTCTACTCGGTATTTGTTTACATGATAACAAGTGCATTTGCTGAGAGAAACAAAGAGAGAGAGAGGGAGGAGAGAGCAAGGAAAAAAGAGAAAGATAAAAGGAGAGAAAGAGATAAAAGACAGAGAAGGGGAGAAAGAGAAAAATATAGAGAAGAGAAGAAAAAAGAGAAAGAGAGAGGGAAGAGAGGGAGAGGCAGAGAGAGGGTGAGAGAGAGAGGAAAGGGCGAGGGAGAGGGAGACAGGGAAAGAAGAAAGGGAGAGAGAGGGAGAGAGTACGTGAGAGGGAGAGAGGGGGAGAGTGGGAGCGAGAGGGTGGGAAAGAAGGAGTGAGAGGGAGAGAGAGGGAAATAGAGGTAGTGAGGGAGAGAGAGGGAGAGGGGGAGAGGGAGAGTGAGAGAGGGAAAGAAGAAAGGGAGAGAGAGGGACAGAGAGTGAGAAGGAGAGAGGGGGGAGAGGGAGAGGCAGAGAGAGGGTGAGGGAGAGAGAGGAAAGGGCGAGGGAGAGGGAGAGAGAGCAGAAAGGGAGAGCAGAAAGGGAGAGAGAGTGAGAGGGAGAGAGGGGGAGAGAGAGGGAGCGAGAGGGTGGGAGAGAGAGGGAGCCGAGAGGGTGGGAGTAGAGAGGGAGTGAAGAGGGAGAGAAAGGGAGAGGGGAGGGAGAAGGGGGAGCGCAACGCCCTCGGAGGGCAGGCGTGCCGCGTAAACGCTGTCGCGGTGGCGGCGAACGTTCTGGGCGATGTCCGGCGAGCGGGGAGCTGCGGCGCTCTGGCGCGGTCGCCGGCCGTCGGGCCGCCGCGCCTCGGCTCCGCGGCCGCGGCGCAGCTCGAACAGGTGCTGAAGTGGATGCCCTGCGCCGGCCGCCCCGGCTCTGCAGGCTCTCCGCCGCGAAACAGCGTGGGGGGGAGGAGGAGGGCAGGAGGAGGAGGCGGGGCGCCTCGGCCGCCGCGCGGCGGCTCGACCGCACACACCGCCGCCGGCGGCTTTGACGGCCCCAGGCCGCGCGTCCGCTGCTTCGCCGACAGCTCGACTTCGCCGCCTCAGCCCCGCTCGCAGTTCGGGCCTTCCCCTCGACGCGGATCGCGGGGCTCCTCATTGTACGGTCATTCGGCGTCTTCTGCCTGTCGCGTCTTTTCGGGGCGTATTTTGGCTCCACAGCGCGCTCGTGGCACTTCGCCTCTCTCGTGGCGAGCGCGATCTCTCGGAGCGTCTATACCCTCTTTGGCACCCTCTTGCGCCCTCTTCGCGTCCTACGCGTCCTCGGGGCCCCTCGCGCCCCTCCCGG